AGTGGTGGAGTCCCCATCCCTGGAGGTATTTAAAAGACATGTAGATGTGGTGCTTAGGGACATGGTTTAGTGGGCATGGTGGTGTTGGGTTGATGGTTGGACTCGGTGATCTTAGAGGTCTCTTCCAACCTCAGTGATTTGATGATTCTATGATTCTATGATGACCAGTCTTGCTTGTTATCGGAAATAAAAATCTACTGTAATGGGTTGTAGAAACTGTGAAATAAAACATTAGTAGAACATTGTGTGGATTTTCATTTTTTGGTTTGATTTGTTTTTTTTTTTTCTTTTCTAATTGTAAGCTTTAAAGATGCCTTCCATCCTGCCAAGTGCAAATACGAATATTATTTACAGCCTCTGGTTTCAAGTCTCCTCTTTTTATATATTTAGTCAAGAAGTCTTTACCGATTCTATTAATATACAGATACTGACTCTAGCACAAAAAACAGATATAAAAGAGACCCCTCCAGACCTACCACACTATCTTTATTTCTATTTCAGGGTCAGGAACTGATTAATTTTCTTACCGATAACTTGTCTGCATCGTAACCCCTCAGAACTGGCCTCTCTCTGCTGTGGACATTCGTTGCCTCATGTATCTATCATCATCTACTGCCTCAGATTTAGAACTGCAGAATATTTCTCAGCTCACACCATCAAGAGTTTTGTTTTCAGGACATGCATTCATGCATTTCTGTCAGAGAGCCTTCTTTCTGTGAGTAGAAAGTACTGTTAGCCAGCTTGATTAAATCCCCTTTTGTTTGGTTCACCTCTTGGTTTAGACCCCTTCCACATTACCAAAACTGTCTGCTTGCTTCTGCTCTTTCTGAGTCCTTCCATGAGTAATATGAAAAAACCCGTCTTAATGTTTAACTATAACTAGAGCACTGAATTATATTTTTATTTGGGCAGAAGTCCTTTGGGAGCTCATCTAGACTGATCTACGTTACAAATGTGAAAAGCGCTCTCTTCCTAGGTGTCTTTGATGTGTTTATTTTTTTAACACAGGACAAAAAAATGATTTAAGTAAATCTCAAGCTAGTTTGGCAGCTTGAAATATAGTAGATTTTAAATGATGTAATATTACCATCACAAAAAACTTGAGAGCTGTATATTATGTTCACAGTGTATAAAGCAGTATGTTTGATACTTATTTTGACTAAGTGATTCACTAATCTTTCCTTCTCATGACTCTAGTCATAATCCTGATGTTTTGGAAGGCTCTTAGGTGACCTAAAGAGGAAAAAGAGATTACTTCTCATGTGTTCCTTGATATTTATTGTCTGCATGCATTGTATGATGTGCTTGCTTTCTACACAATGTTGTAATCTAAATGAAAGATACTATAGGTAACTACTACTGTATATCATAGGAATGATATTTTTGGTGGTAAAAGATAGAACTGTAGAGTGTTTATTACCACCAAAGTGCAGCTGTATCACAAGTGTAGGCCATTCAGAAGTATGAATCAGGAAACATAAGAAATAAAAACATCAGAAATGCCTTAATGGTCTGACTAGTGTTTCAACCAGTCTGTTATGCTATTCAGTTTCAAGGGTATAGGAACTTGTAAGACTAAAATATATAAAGAGATCTTAGAAAACACACATTACTACTCTGTAAACACCCTCTTTTGAAGACCTGAGAAAGAGGCATAACTTGAGCAAGTGCAAATTGTTATGAATAGAAATCAAAGTGATAAAATGTGAAGTGAAAAAAACTTTAAAGAATAACAAAACCTTTGAAAATGAAGAAGATTGTGCAGTAATATCTGAGTGTGTTTAAAATACAAATTTTTATTTTTTTTTTACAAATGCATTTATTTTATATTTTAAAAGGAACAGTTTCTTCCTTTTACACTTTATAGCAGTGAAATATTTATCAGGTATTGGTGCTGTCATCCGTCAGAAGATGTGCTGTTTGGTGCATTTAGCAAGCTCACAGCAAGTCTATTGTCACAGAGCATGCTGTGTTCCCAAACAGAAGAATACATGTTTGTTGAAGACTCAGACTCACTTTTTGTTGTTATTTGAGATAAGCTATCTTTCAGAAACAAGACCTATGATTGTGATAGAATACTTCAAATTGTTGTAGTGATAAGGGAAAACTCTGTAGAGTTGATTTAAGATTTTTTTCCAGAACATTTTTAAAATTTCACTAAAATCCGAATGCTGCAGTGGAAGGGAAGTTATGCAAGTTATGCTGAGTACAAATAGAACTGGTCATGCAAATTAGTCTTTCCCCCTCCATTTCTTTATTTCAGCTTTCAGAGAACAGTACTCAGAAGAGCAGTAATTTGTCCCAAAACAGCTATATAACTGTTAGAGCTGAAGGGGGAAAAAAACCTGCTCAAAACCCATCAAATATGAATCATTATATG